CAACATACAGCCACGGAAAAACTTGTACATGAATATTCATATCAGCATTATTCACAAAAGTCACAAAGTAGAAACAGCTCAAATAGTCACCAACTGATCAATGGATAAACAAAACATGGTGTAACCAGGCAACAGATTATTTGGCAATAAAAACAAAATGAAGTCCTAATACATGCTATAATATGGATAAACCCTGTAAACAGTACACTGAGAAAAGGAAGACAGTCACAAATGATCATCTATGTGATTCCATTCATATGAAATGTCTAGAATAGGCAAATAAAGAGGCAGCAGCAGATCACTGGCTGCTAATGGGTGGGAGGAGAAAGAATGGTGACTGATAATGAGTAAAAGGTTTCTTTTTTGAGGTAATGAAAATGTTCTAGAGTTTACTGTGGAGATGGCTGCACAAATCTGCGAATATTCTAAAAACTGAATTGTACAGTCTAAGAGGATGAATTTTACATTATACGAATTACATTTCAATTAAACTGTCATAAGAAAAAAAGCAGACTCGAGTCTTTGTCATGTTAAAAATCATTCTTAACCCTTTTTATCATCTGCTAACAACTCTTTCCATTATTCCCTTCACAGCTAAAATTTGTTTATTCTTGAACTAATCCATATTTACTTTCTTCACTCTCTGATCACCCCTCAACTCCTCAATTCAAAGAAACGAGCTCCTCCCCCCTCCATGGTAGCATTAGGTAGAATGTTACGAAACTGCTCTTACTTAGTTATCAGATTGAATAGACTCCTAATAATCCTTGTTTTACTCAAGTTCTCAGAGCGTTTGAAGTACAGCTTCCTTTTTCAGAAATGTTCATGTTTTTGTGAAGAGTTGGTTGTGAAGCATAGCTTCCTTTTGAAATGATTCTATTTTGGCTTTTATGACATTTTCTCATGATTTCTCTGCATCTCTAAAAACTTAGTAATTTCCCTTCCCAGGTCTTCTTCCTCAATTTCATTGTAAATGTTCTCCATTGTCTATTTCCAGAACTATTCTCCATGGGTAAACTCTTCCTACATGTTGTTATGTAAATCAAAGGTTTCAGCTACCACCTATAATACAGCCTGCTGACTCTCACAGCAAGACCTCTCTCTCTTCCACTCCAGATCCACACACCCAACTCTGTAGCTGCTTTCCACTTGGAAGTTTCATAGACAACTCCCATTCAATACATCCAAAAGCTAACACACTGTCCCTCTCCAAGCTTGCTCCTCTTCCTGTCTCAGTACAGAGTTGATGCTTGAACATAGGTTTGAGCTGTGTGGGGCTATTCAGATGTGGTCCTTTTTCGATACAGTACTGTACTGTAAACGTGTTTTTTCTTCCTTATGATTTTAGTAACATTTTCTTTTCTCTAGCTTTATTGTAAGAATACATGTAAAATATGTGTTAATTGACTTTCTGTTATCTGTAGGGCTTCCAGTCAACAGTAGGCTATTAGTAGTCAAGTTTGGGGGGAGTCAAAAGTTATACACGGATTTTTAGACTGCAAGGAGGGTCAGCACCCCTAACCCCCCCCCCCCCCCCCCAAGGGCCCCCCCCCCTCCCCCCCCCCCCCCCCGTTAAAGGGCCAACTGTACTCTACCACTGTCTTATTCAATGACCCAAGTTAAAATCCAACCACACCTGAATCCTATGAATTCTACCTTCTGTCAAACTACCCCTTTGTATCTCCGACTCCACCTTAGTTTAGAGCTACCTTCCACCTTTCTGCACCCTGCCTGATCTTCTTCCTTCCACCCCTTCTGAAATCTGCACTCTACAATACCAGAACAATCTTTCTAAGAGGAAAACTTTATCATGACTCTTTCCTGATTAAAATTCATAAACTCTACTACTTCTATAGGGGAAAAATTCTAGAAACCTTGGAATGTCAAGCAACTCTCAAAGATCTACCTGTGCAGCCTCGTCTTGTGCTACTTACCACCAAAAACCCAGTGCTATAGTTGCAGAGAATGACTTCTGGCTCTTCGAAGTGTTCCATGCTCTTTCTAATCACGTCCAGCTTTCCTTCTGCCTTTGGTTCGTTTCCCTCATTTTCTTTCCATTTTTTTTTTTAATTTTAAGATTTTATTTATGTATTTGACAGAGAGTGAGCAAGAGAGCACAAGCAGGAGGAATGCACTCTTACGGAGGGGGGTGAGGGAAGGGGCAAAGGGAGAAGCAGGCTCCCTGTTCGGCAGGGAGGCCAATGGGGGACTCGATCCCAGAATCCTAGGATCATGAGTAAGCTGAAGGCAGACGCTTAACTGCTTAACTGACTGAGCCACCCAGGTGCCCGGTTCCCTCATTTTCTGCCTTTGTCATGCCTAAACCTTCAAGTTTAACACACAAAGCATAAAATACCTATCACACACAGCAGGGAGTTAAAATGGGCTCAGCTGGCTTAGGTTTCTGTTTTCTTTATCCTGTCTCAGTGACTTTTATTGGCTTACAAGATAAAAGTTGAAACTACTTTAACTGTGTTTAAGACTATTCATGAAAAAAAAAAAAAGAAGACTTCATAATTTGGCCCCTGTCTACTAGCTACACCTCCAGATCGTAAAATTCGTTATGGAACCTCAGACTCCCGTGCTTCTGCTCACACTGTTCCTTCTATCTAAATAGCCATCCTTGCTGTAGTCTTCCCCTCCACATACTTTTTCCTTTCCACTGCCAACTTCCTCAATCTCTCCTTCTCTCCCCATAAGAAATTGATCACTATCTCCTTTGTACACCCTCTCTGCCCCCACACCTTCTCCAAAGTAATCTTAAAAACATATTGTACTCGCGAACAGTTCAAGTAAAAGATAAAGCCTTATCACCAGAAAGCAGGGGCACTTGCCTTATCCATCTGTAAGTCCTCTTCAGCAGGTATACTACCTGCTACACAGTAACGCCTCTATACTAAATGACCCACGTTCTTCCTTATTCCTTCCAAACATGCTAACTTAAATTTCTATCAGGAATTTTCTTTCAAAAAAGAAAGAACATACTTTTGGGTTACATTCGAACCTAATGTCCCCTTTCTGAGCAAACAGCTGTGCAAATACAAGTGTACAAATTAAAGTTAATATTCATTCTCTGATAACACTTCTGGTTTTCTAATTAGATCTACAATGAGAGATACTATTTGAAGAGAAAGCAAATTAAGTTATGTCATACTGCTTCAAGATACTTTGTTCAAAGAATTACTTCCCAGTGGTTACTGTTAAACTAAGTCTACCCCACTTAAATCTACAGGGTCACTCTGAAAAGTGAGAACCACTCTAACTTGCTTCCTACCTCTCCTACTGCCAGTACAGTTTACAGCAATTACTCATTTTCAGAAAGACACTCAGAAAGGAACTATCAAATCACCAAGACAACTAGGAAGGCGTCAAGTGAGGTTACTTTTCTTATTCACAGACCCTTTTTTTTTTTTTTCATTTAGAAGTGCTGCCTCCATAACCACCAAACCGAAAGTGAGCTTGCTCCTTATCCCCACTTAAATACTTGATGAATAACTGCCAAGTATGATGGAATGCTACCAAAAGTGCTGCAGCATGTGAACATGCCCACTCCACTCTACAAAATACCCACTGAAAGCTTTTCTAATGAGGCTGGATGGTGTGAACTCCACGTCCAAACGACTGTATTTCTCCTACAACGCACATTCAAAGTATCTCGAGTTAACATTTTAATTATTTTCAAGAACTCTACTAGGCCTTAGAGGAAACAAGCTGCTTGGTCAAGAGGAAGGCTCTGAAGTAATGAATCCCAAAACTGGAAACACCGTAATTATTTCAGGTTAAGACTGGGGTGTGGAATATTTTGTAAAACCTGTTTCATTCTCATAACGAGAAATTTTAAAAAAGGGGGGGGTGACCTCAATAAGAGCATTTTATCACAAACATACTTGAAAATGAGTTGTAAAAAGAATTCTCAACTCCAGATCTGTCCGTGCATTCGCACTGAAACCTGAACGGAAGACCGCAGCACCCAAAGGAGCCCCTACTGCTTGCGTGCCAGCGGTGGGAAACATCAAAAGCCTTTTCCTAGTCCGCTGGGCAAGTCCTGGAGACGGGTCAATATTCCGGGTGCGGCTAAAAAAATAGTGATTATATAAAAGACAGTCCTCTCTCCCCCGTTCCGGTGCCCAAGAGCTGCCCCAAGGCCTGGAGACTCAAGTGGGGAGGGGCCCGGTTCCCGACTCTCCTCCTCCGGACTCCGAGAGCACCAAATCACAAATGCGGATGCCACGAGGGAGGCCCGGCCGGCAAGTGGGAGGAACGGCCGGCAAAAGGCGAGAACTGGGGAGAAGCCTGCCCGGGATGAACCCGCACTCGGGGCAGCCACGCCCCCCACCCCCAACTCCAGCTCCGCGCGCGGCAAGCGCCCAGCCCCGCACGCTGCCTGACAGACGCCGCCTGCGAGATGGGTGCGGAGAGGGCTTCCCGGGCACGCGAGGGGCACCGCCACGACCCCTGCACGCCACCGCTGCCCGCCACTGACCTGTGCCCGCCGCCGCGCGACAGCCCGCCCCCGCCTCAGCCGCCGCCTCCTCGCGCTCACGGTGCCGCCGCAGCCACCGTAGGCGCCTCCTGCGCTGCGCCCCTAGCCGGCCTCGGGCGCCCCATTCCCACCCCGCCCCAGCCTCCGCCTGTTTACAATGATTGGGACAGAAGCGACGAGCCGGCCCAACGCGCACGCGCATTCCCTCCTCCCGCCGCTGCCGGCTTCCTGGGTCCTCCTCTCTGCGCTGACGGCTTAAGCCGTCAAGGGCAAACGCCCTGTGCCCTCGCGCGCAGCATGCTGGGAGGGGTAGTTCTCGGACCCCAGCGCCCCGCTTACGTGAGGACCCTTCTTCGAGGAAGGACACTACAACACCCAGGAAGGACCGCGATTCCTTCGGCCCAGAGGCTCGCTGAGGAGACTGAGGGAGCACGCGAGAGAATGCACCGCGCTAGTGCTCAGCGGGCGCCTGCGCAGTTCCCGGTCTTGGGGGACTGGGTGGGAGGTTAATACCTACCCGGTATCAGAGTATCAGTGAAGACGGCTTGAGGGCGTCGCCTGCGCTGGTCTTGAGAGAGGAAAGAGTTTTCCACTCCACGTTCCGGCCGGCTGCTCCTCAGCTCCCGAAGTGCAGAGCTTCTGTGCTAGCAGGCTTCGGTCTTCCTAACCAGTTAAACTAGCCTAGGAGGCCGGCCTAGCCGGGCGCTGGGTGGGGCATCTTCCCGGCCTTGGACTGGGTGGGGAATCTTGCTTGGGGTGGGGACTCTCGCTGTGGGCTTTCCTTAAAGGAAGCTCTTTGAGCCTCTGAGGGGAAACTTGCATAAAACTCTGTATCCGGACCCCGCTGAGAATTCCTGAAATGGGTATTGACAAGGGCCAGCCCCGGGTTCGAGCTGGCCTGCTGGGCTGTCTTTCACCGCCCTCTCTGGTTCAACAATTGCAAAGGAACACCTGAATTAAAACAGCCTAGCCACACGTTTAGGTTGCAAAGAGAAATAACTGAATCGTGGAAAAGGCTGAAAATAACTAAATTTCCCCCAGGAATCCTAAGCAAAACTTGAAGAATTATTCTGCTAATGCATGACTGGAAATCGGGTCTTTTGAAGTGTTCTTGTTTTATAAAAGTTGGCTGATTATTAGGGGGAAGATACGATTTGAGATAAATGCTGTTCCCAATCATTTCCATTCCTACGTGCAATACTCTCTTTAGAACTTCATTGTATAATGTCGATTAACCTACTAATCTGTCCTGCCGCTATACCTCGCAGAGAAGATGACAGATCTGACAGTAGGTCTCTCCCTTGTACACCCCGATTTCTACTCAGCCCCCTCAGCCTGACTTTGAAGAGCCTCCTGCAATTAGATACCAGCATGGTCTGTACAAGCCATTGTTTTCTGACTGTTTGAGGAGCTTTCTTTTTGCCCCTCTGGCAAAAGAAGGGTCCTCTAACCACTGAGATGGGCATGTCACAATGCAAATTAATAATACACTTTACTTCCAGCAACACTAGACGTGCCAAGGAATAGGCACTGACCTGAGTGGGGCATTATTGAGCCATTGGCTCAATTACTGGACTCAATTATTGAATCCAATCGATGTATGGACACAGAAAAGAGAGCGGGGAAAAAAAGCTTTTTATTGAGGTAACTGCTGATAGCCGTGTTCTTCACCACATAGTCTTTTCTGCAGTACCAATAAATGAGGCCAAAACCGGAGGGGAGGGTGGGGTGGGAAGGAAGAGAAAGCAAGAGCTGACAGCATGAAGACTCTGGTTTCAGTTTCACACACTAAGGTTTGTATAGCTCTTGTATAGTGCTTTGAGCACTTAAATTACCAATTATTAGCATGTTCAATATTAGCTTTAAAAAGGAAGGAAATTCTAATACATGTAAAACAAAAATCATAAGAACTGAAAGGACAAATTGATGATTCACTTGTGGTTGGAGGTTTCAGATTCCTGTCTCAGCAATGAACAAGAGAATGTAAAGATGGGTACAGAAGACCCATATTACAGTATCAACCAACTACAGTATCAAACCAATATTTGACGTATGCAGAAAACTTCAACAATAGCAGAATACACATTCTTTTCAAACAAATGAAACATTGTCCAGAACAGATCATATGGTAAGCCACAAAACAAATCTCTATACATTTTAAAGGACTGAAAACATACAAGATATGTTCTCTTTCTATAATGGAATTAAATTGGCAAAAACAAAAATCTAGAAACCCCCAAATATCTGGAAATGAACATATTTCTAAATAACCCATGGGCCAAAGAAGAAATTACAAGGGAAATTAGAAAACATCTAGAGGCACCTGGGTGGCTCGGTCATTAACGATCTGCCTTCCACTCAAGTCATGATCCCAGGGTCCTGGGATGGAGCCTTTTGTCAGGCTCCCTACTCAGTGGGAAACCTGCTTCTCCCTCTCTCAAATAAATAAATAAAATAAAATAAATAAATAAATAAATAAATAAAATCTTTTAAAAAAGAAAACATCTGGAACTGAGTGGAAACAAAAATATAACGTATCAAATTTAAGGGAAGCAGGAAAAACTGTACGTAGAGGGCAATTAATAGCAGTAAGTGCTTATATTAAAAGGAATACAATAATTTAAGCTTCTCTCTCAAGAAGCTAGCAAAAGAGGAATGAATCAAACCTAAATTAAGTAGAAATAAAGAAATAGGATAAAAATAGGGATGAATGAATCAAAAGCAAAAGGAAATAGAGAAAAGGACCCAAGAGCTGGCTCTTTGAAAAGATCAAACTGATAAACCTTTAGCTGGACTAAGAAAAAAAGGATATAAATTACCAAAATGAGAAATGAAGAGGGACAACACTATAGACAAAAATGAAAAATATTGGGGGAACCTGGGTGGCTCAGTGGGTTAAAGCCTCTGCCTTCGGCTCAGGTCATGGTCCCGGGGTCCTGGGATGGAGCCCCACAGCCCCGCATCGGGCTCTCTGCTCAGCGGGGAGCCTGCTTCCTCCTCTCTCTGGCTGCCTCTCTGCCTACTTGTGATCTCTGTCTGTCAAATAAATAAAATCTTTGAAAAAAAAATGAAAAGTATTATAAGGGAATATTATGAACATCATAATTCTGATAATTTTCAAAATAGCTGAAAATGGAGGCATTCCTGGAAATAACAAATCACCAAAACTAACTAAAGCAAAAACTAAAAAATCTGAAAAGCCATATCAGTAAATACAAATATTCCCACATGGAAAAAAACCCAGGTCAAATGTCTTCACTGGTGGAAGTCTAGCAAATATTTTAAGGGAAAACAAACAAACAAACAAAAAAAACCCAAATCTATTAATCCCCTTTTAGAAAATAGATGAGAAAGGAACACTCTTCAATTAATTTTATGAAGCCACTATCACCCTGGTAAAAAAAAACAAAAACATCACAAGAAAATAGAAAATCCTTCATGAACTGTACACTTTAAAAGGGCCAATTTTGTGGTACATGAATTATATCTCAATAATGCTATTTTTTTTAAGATATAAGAATTGGATTAAATATTCTAAAAGCAACTCCATGCTTGAATGAACAGAGTAGAAAATCCAGTATCTGTTGTCTGTATCCTTGGGACTGGCACCTAAATGGTTCACTGGGTCATAGCACTGTATATAATTGAAATTTCTTATTTGTATATTATAAAATATATGTTATAGTTTTACATATCATATAAAGGATACAATATTTTGAGCTCATGACAAAAACAGGTGTCAGAACTATACGACTTCACATTTACTCTTTGCAACAATTCACCCTACAACTCAGTGGCTTAAAACTACTCTGCTGCTCTTGCAGTTATGGTCAGTTGGTGAATTAGGTGGGTGGTTGGGATGGCTGAGGTTCTCTCTGCAGTGATCTCTCATCTTCCAAAGGCTAGTTTGTATTCTCAGCACAAAAACATTTTTGTCATTTATTCATGTCTCATTGGCCAAAGCAAGTCACATGCCAAGCTCCAGATTCAAGGGATGGATAAACAGAATCCACCTACACAGAGACACAGGAAAGAATTTGTGGCCATTTATTTGCAATCTATGACAAGAATTCTTGACTCGCCTTGGCTCCTCCAAGAATGCTTTTATAACCTCCAAGATCTGTAAATTAGTGTGAATTAACACCTTTTGATTGAAACAGTCATGAATCAAATGTAAGTATAAACTGCATTCTAGTGTCTTCCCTCCATTCCTCTCTAATCTTAAAGATTTTCTAGGAGTAAATAAACTACCAAGCTGATTTGGATAAAAAATTTACCTTCCAAGCCTCCATCTGATATAGCAGAACTTTTTCCATTTCCATTATATGCTGCAAAGCCAGTGCTTCATGTACTCATTTCCGGGGGGAGAAATGGTAAAACTGGTGTCATCATTTAAAGTATAACATTGGCTTTTTAAAGTTTTTCTTTTTTTTAAGATTTTATTTATTTATTTGTCAGAGAGAGAGGAGCGAGAGTGAGCACAGGCAGACAGAGTGGCAGGCAGAGGCAGAGGGAGAAGCAGGCTCCCTGCCAAGCAAGGAGCCCGATGTGGGACTTGATCCCAGGATGATGGGATCATGACCTGAGCTGAAGGCAGCTGCTTAACCAACTGAGCCACCCAGACGTCCCGGCTTTTTAAAGTTTTTAAAGTGATAACATTGAGGTTATTTAGAATAATAATAATTTGGATCATGTTTATGGCTTATAGTTTTGGTCTAGATAAGTCTAAACATCTAAAAGAATTCCTTGGTTTCCTTGTGACCTGGGATGGAGAACTGCCCTTCCCCCCTTACCCCTTACCCCCCATTCATTGCACTCCCTACCCCCTCCCCCATCCCCTGCTTCTGGGAGCTGTAAGTACTACATCTTGTGGTTTTACTTTCTTTGTATGTGTTAAAACTGCACCTTCAGGGGCACCTGGGTGGCTCAACAGGTCGACCACCGGACTCTTGGTTTTGACCCAGGTCATGATCTCAGGGTAGTGAGATTCAGCCCCATGAGATGGGCTCCATGCTCAGCAGGAAATCTGCTGAAGAATCTGGCTCTCCTTTTCCCTTTGCCCCTCCCCCACCACTGGGAGCACCTGTGTACACGCTCTCTCTGTCTCTCTTTCTAAAAATTTAAAAAAAAAACAAACAACAACAATAAAACAATAAACTGTGCTTTCAGTCAAAAGGACCCTTTTCTTAAAGTGGGAACTCAAATGCTGAGGGAGTTACCTGCCAGCCCTGTGTGGGTGGCTTCTGCCTCTTCACTTTGACAGGTCATTATCTGCATATTCTTAATTTAGTAGACCAGCTATGGGCCACCCAACACACCCCACATATTTTAAAGTATCCTTTTTCTATTCTGACAAGTAACTGACTTGGTTTGGCCAAATACAGATTACACATCACTCTACCCCAGAGTGTTGAAGACTTTGCTACAATCCTTCTAGCTTCTAGTGTCGCTGTGGAAAAATCCAATGTTATTCCGATTGATCCTTTGTAAACAAACCATCAAAAACCTTAAATTTTCTTCTTTAAGAAAAACATACTTTCAAATTCTCTATTTTGCCCATGGTTTTATGAAATTTCAGAATGGTATGTCTTGAGCTGGGATTAGTTTTATTCTTTTGTGGGTGAGGCATTTGCATTTCAGTTGTGGGATCTTTTCATGAATTGCCTCATTGATGACTTTTCCCCCCCATTCACTTCTCTCTTCTGTATT